TCGCATATTATCATGGGACATTGTGATCCCTACATTTTCATTATGAGTGATATGCTTTGCCAAAGTTTCTCTCAATTTTTCTTAACCACATTTTCCTAATACATATTCTGGCTTCTGTTTTCAGCTCTGTCCTCTCGAGGATCCCACAGTTAAGTTCACAGATGAACATTTTTTTTTATGCTAAATCCTGCCTGGTTTCTCATATAATCCCGACTAATGCAGAGAATTGTCAACAACAACACCATGCCCATTTGTGAGTAAGTTAGAGATGACCTTAGTGTCAGCAGTCCAGTATCCAGACATCTAGAAAACTGCTTCTAAATATCTTTGGTTGACAATCAGATACAGATCCTGGTACTTCATTCTCCCACCCTGATTCTACAGTTCTTCCAAATCGCAGTTCTTTCCTTCTCCTCCTCTGTTTAGTGCCTATTTTTATTTGGATGCAAATAAAATGCAAATAAAATGCCAAAATGCATGTCAAAAGTTTATCCCCTTTGTGGTGAGGTTGGAGGGCAGAGACTAGTGGGAGATATATGGGTCATGGGGGTGGATCATGAAATAGATTCATGTTCTCCCTTGGGGACAAGTGAGTTTTCATTCTTGCAGGAATAGATTAGCACCAACAAGACAGGGTTGTTTTAACTTTCTCTGGCTTCCTCTCTCACCCATGGCATCTCTTTGCACATGTCCCCTTCTCTTTTGCTTTCTGATATGAGTTGAAGCAGCCTGAGGCCCTCAGCAGATATAGCTGCCCAATCTTGAACCTTTCAGCCATCAAAATCTTGAGCCAAATAAACCTATTTTCTTTATAAATTATCCTGTTTCAGGTATTCTGTTACAGCAGCACAAAATGGAATAAGACAAACAATTGGTACTGAGGAGCGAGGTATTGCTATACAGAGATACCTAAAAAGGTGGAAGTAGCTTTTGAACTGGGTAATGATAGAGATGGAAGAGTTTGGAGAAGCAAGCTAGGAAAAGTTTGTATTGCCATGAATGGAGCCATAAAGGTGATTCTCGTGAGGGCTTACAAGAAGACAAAAAGATGAGGGAAAGATTGGAATTTCTTAGAGATTGGTTAAGGCCAAATGGTGGTTGAAATATGGACAGTAAACACCATTCTGATGAGGTCTCAGATGGAAATAAGAAATTTTGTTGTAAACTGGAAAAAAGGCCATAGTTGTTACACAATAGCCTAGGGCTTTGTGGAAGGTAGAATTTAAAGAGTAATGGGGCCAGCATGACAGCTCATGCTTGTTCATAATCCCAACACTTTAGGAGGCTGAGGCAGGAGGATCGCTTGAGCCCTGGAGATCAAGACAAGCCTGGGCAACATAGTGAGATCTCATCTCTACAAAAAATAAGCCAGGTATGGTGGCACGTAAGTTGGAAAAATCAGCTGAGCCCAGGAGGTCGAGGCTGCAGTGATCGATGATCATGCAGCTGCACTCCAGCCAGGGTGACAGAGTGAGACTCCAACTCAAAAAAAAAAAAAAAAAAAAAGCAATGCAATAGCATATTTGGTAGAAGAAATTTCTAAGCAGCAAAACGCAGGCTGCTGTTGCTTCTAACTGCCTAAGGTAAACTGCTAGAGAAAAGGGAAGCAGAGTGGAATGATTTGGAAAATTTGCAGCATGGCCATGTGGTAGAGAATTAAAGAGTATTTTCAGGAGTGGAATCTAAGCCAAGATACCCTTTGCTAAGGAGATTAGCACGGCTAAAAGACAACCAGGTGCTAAAAGTCAAAACAATGAAACAAAGACCTTGAAAGCATTTCAGAGACCTTCACCCAGGCCTAGAAGGAAAGAATGGTTTCAGGGCACATGCCCAGGACACTACTGCCCTGTGTTGCCTCAGGGCACTGCTCTCTGTATCCCAGTAACTCTTGCTGGAGCACCCTAGCTCGATCAGCCTCAGGTACAACTCATGCTATGGCTCTGAAGAATCCAAGCTGTAAGCCTTGGAGGCAACAACATCTTCGCAGTACTAATGTTGCAGGTGTGCAGAACGCAAGAGAAGTGGAAGTGCAGAGGTTTCCATCTAGATATAAAAGGCTGAATCAGAAAGCGTGGGGACCCAGGCAGAAATCTGCTACAGAGGTGAAGCCCACACAGAGTCCTCGCCGTGGCGCTGCCTAGCGGAGCTGTGAAATGGGGACATCCTGGGGACTCCAGAATTGTAGAGCTATTATCAGTTTGCAACACCTACCTAGAAAAGCTTCAGGCATCTGACTCTAATCAGTTAGAACGGCCTAGGCTGCACCCAGCAAAGTCATAGGAGCAGGGCTTCCCAGGGTCTTAGGAACATATCCTTGCACTGGAATGCTCAGGATGCAGGACATGGAATCAAAGGAAATTATTCCAGAAATTTAAAATTTAATGTTTCCTTGCTGGGTTTTGGACTTTCCTGGAGCCTGACATTTCTTACTTTTGAACTAGTTTTCTGTTTTGGAATGCGAATGTTTACCAAACGTCTGTTCCACCATTGTACTTTGGAAGTAAACAATTTGTTTAAGATTTTACAGGCTCATAGCTAGAAGGAACGTACCTTGAGTCTCAGATCAGAGTTTGCACTTTAGATTTAAAAGTTGTTGCTGGAACAAGTTAAGACTTTTAAGACTATTAGGATCAAATGACTATATCTTGCATGTGAGAGGGACATGAGTTTTGGGAACCCAGAAGTGGAATGCAATGGTTTGGATGTGATTTGTCCTTGTCAAAATTCATGTTGAAATTGAATTCACTTTGTGGTGGTGCTGGAATTGAGGTCTAGTGGGAGGCATTTAGGTCATATGGGCAGATACCTTATGAACAGATTAATTTCCCCCTTTGAGGGCAAGTGAGTCTCACTCTTGCTAGAATGGACTAGTTTCCACAAAACAGAGTTATTTTTGAAAGTCTGACTCCCTTGGTTTCTCTCAGTACCTAAGAATGTACCAGGAATTCTCCCTGGATCCCATTCCAAATTTCAGAATTTACTTTTTGCTAAATTATAGCTCTCTTTCAGGAAAAAAGTTCTATCCAGAACCAGTTCTGTGATTTCCTGGTATGGTCTTGTTGCTCTCTTTCCCATGGACACATGACTTGGTCCCTACTTCAGCCTTGTGACAGGAGTGCCACCTCTGTTTCCATTTGTCTACCTTCTGAGTATAGACTGCCTTCTGCATTCCCTGCCATTGTGAATTACCCACTGAGATCCTAGGACTGTCTGAGAGTGATTGCTATCTGTTCACCAAAGATTCAAACTCCCTTTCCTCTATAGCAGAGGTCCCCAGTACCAGTCTGTGGCCTGTTAGGAACCGGACCACAGAGCAGGAGGAAAGTAGCTGGCAAGCAAGCAAAACTTCATCCATATTTAAAGCTGCTCCCCATCACTTGCATTACCGCCTGAGCTCCGCTTCCTGTCAGATTAGCAGCGGCATCAGATTCTCATAGTAATGCGAATCCTATTGTGAACTGCACATGCGAGGGATCTAGGTTGCATGCTCCTTATGAGAATCAAATCCCTGATGATCTGAGGTGGCCAGTGATGCTAGCAATGGGGAGCGGCTGCAAATACAGAGTAACATTAGCAGTGAGGTTTGACTACACAGAGACCGTAATAAATCAACTGCTTGCAGATTCATATCAAAACCCTATCAGTGAGTGGTAAGTGAGTCAATGTATTTCAGTTGTACAGCTGCATCTGGTGGCAGACTTTAAGTCAGAATCCGACACTTATTTTAGTCCATGTGTGGCCTGCCCGTTATTTTATTTACCACTTCCATCCTTGCCTCTTTCTAAAAAAAAGGTGAGTTATATAATTATTTCATTATATATTTTATATATATATAGTATATATATAATATATTATATATTGTAATAGTAATAATAGAAATAAAGTACACAATAAATGTTATGTGCAGCTGGGTACGGTGGCTCAGACAATCTGTAATCCCAGCACTTTGGGAGGCTGAGGTAAGGGGACTGCCTGAGCCCACAGGTTCAAGACCAGCCTGGGCAACATGAACTTATCTCTACCATAAATCAAAAAATTAGCCAGGCATGGTAGTGTGTGCCTGTAGTTCCGGCTACTTGGAAGGCTGAGGCAAAAGGATCGTCTGAACCCAGCAGGTCGATGCTGGGGTGGATATGAGATGCCACCGCACTCCAGCCTGGGTGAGAGAGTGAGACTCCAACTCAAAACAAACAAACAAACAAACAAAAAAAAACACAAGAATGTTGTGTGTTTGAATCATCCCAAAACCGTTCCTCAACTCCCAGTCCATGGAAAAACCGTGTTCCACAAAACCGGTTCCTGATGCCCAAAATTTTGAGGACTGCTGCTCTACAATGTAACACTTGCTGAGAAGTGACTGGCCACCCAGAAACTGCATTTCCTTCCCTGCCATCTTGCATAGAGTTAAAGACATGGGATATGCATATTCTAGTCTATTAGACAAATAGAATAGAATATACATGGGAAGAGATGTATGTTGCTCCCAATCCAGCACATGAAAGCCTCCACAGAGACAGATGATGTCTCCATCTAGAAAAATTTGGTTCTGTTAAAGGGGCAGAATCTCTGTGAACATGAGTTCTTGATTACCTGTTTTAAACTGCCCCTCTGTTGATGTGGGTGAAAAATAAACTTCTAGTCTATTATGTTAAACCACTGTGCTTTGGGGGATTTCTGACACACTAGCCAGCTTTACCTGTGTAATAAATACTTCTTCAAAATGTTTTTCAACTGGTTAAGCCTGTGACCTTCTGAAGAAACATTGTCCCATAGGTCCAACAGTCCCTCTGGAATCTTCCACTGTTATGAGGTCCATTCTGCAACCTCTGTTTCACTCTCCTAGACTGATATGAGGCCAGGCTCTGTTTCATTTCTCCTCTGGGTCAGCCTCATGCTGTCTTTAGCTGGCCACCACGTCTTATGTGATTTATCAAGCTATGGCATACTGAAAGATGTTTAAAAATCTAACCTATTAGTGAGAAACACAGGGAACCCAATACCTCCATGGCCACAGGTCTGTGAACACCCTGTCCATGTTGTCCACCCTGAGAGCTGACAGTTCACCACACATTCCACCAGGCAGGGAATGCTCATTCTCTGGGGCTTCTCCAAATTATGCTGCAAATAGAAATGAAATAGAACTTCATTGAACAAATCATATCACTAGTAAGTCAAGTCACTGTCCTTTTATGGGAAAGACTTTCCTTAATTCTGTGATAATAATAACCTTTCCACATTTTGCTGAGAAAAAAAAATCCTTTACTATATAAATTGGTGGCAGTCATAGAAAGCGGTTGTCCTTATATCATAAAACAAAACTTGTCAGCCCAAATTTCTTTCTTATTTTTTTTCTAGTTGTCAAATGACCTTTTATTGAAATAGATTTCCTTTTTGCTTCTTAACTAGCTGGGCATTCCACTGTGCCGCTATTGATGTCATCTATGATGTCACGGGGGTGGCAGCCATCAACATTGCAGCCCACAGACTGAGCAGTCCCCAGCATCTCTTCAATGGTTCCAGAGAGTTCTCTAGCTAGAGACTGGTGTCGCATTTGTTGGACAATGGTGACAATCTCATCAAAAGTGATGTTCTCACTGTGTTTAATGTTCTTCTGTTTCTCTCTGTCTCTTGGTGGTTCCCTGAGGGCTTTGTTGATAGGGCAAAGGCAGAAGGTACCACCTCAATGTGGGCCTGTCTGTTCTGAATGGTCAGTTTCGCTGTCATTCTCAGACCTTTCTAGTCACCGGTTGCCTTGGTGATGTCATCACCAACCTTTTGGGAGTCAGACCCAGGGGGCAGATCTTGGGGGCCAGCGCAGACATGGCACCAACCTTGCCCCAGTACACCTCAGGTAAATGATCTCTTCGGGTCGAACTTGGACAGTATAGTGGAGGCAGCTGGTGTTGGATGAACCCAGATTTGGGATAACCAAAGAAAGTTGTACCTTGGCGTCCACCGAGTCAAAAACCAAAAGGTCCAAATTTCTTTTTATAAAGTCCTAAACTCTAGAGCAGATCTGCCATTAGGGTGCTTGGAAAGCAGTAGGTCACATGACACAGAGCTCTGCCCTGGTGCTCATCCCACAAGGAACCAGGGGGAACCTCTCAGTATTCAATTCAAACACCTGTGCTTCTGAATGGGCCAGAAGTACAGAGAGGGCCAAAACTAAAACCTAGCTAGCTAAAAAAATAAGCAATATAGAAATAAAAATAAAATCAGCAATCCATTTGAAGTCCATTAAAAAAAAAAACTGGGCTAAAAATACAATCATGGTCTTAATCAGGGAACATGTTGGTGATACAGTTAATTTTCCCCTCATCTTCTCTGAAACCAGCATCTAGCAAAATATACAAATTTTCTAATGCCCAAGGCAGAAGAGGTCTTAGTAAAAGAATAAATTACCTAAGAAACACAGAAAGAATAGTAAAAAAAATTCTGCTCTAGGAATTGCACACTATTTGTGTACTTACTGACATTCAACACATGTTAAATGATAGCAATATCCACACCAAGTTAAAATTAACGATTATAGCAAGCTGACTTACCAAGTGGGTAAAACAGAAATTACCACAATGAGATCTGTGACTCATTTGAGATATATGGATATTCTAGTTAGGTTAATAAATCAGAACTTTTTTAGATGAACATTTCTTAAATATTTATTGGGCTTATGGTATTTAGAAAGTAGAAAAACTGATTTTCTATTAATGAATAGCTTATATCTTGCTTTGTTTCAAAATAAACTATTTATTATATCAACCAAAAGTAAGATTTTAACTTATTTGGAGATGTCAATAAGTGATTTTTTTTCTAAAGCAGATAACTTCTGAGGGCCAAGATTAAATGAAATGAAGTGTTAAAATAAATCACTGACTCTTAGGATATAGTACTTTGCCCTTTATTAGTCAGTTCCAGAATTTCATCAATGTAAATCCATTTCAGATGTTCTGTTCTTAGGGTTGGTGTGTTGTCTGTGGCTGCTCGGTTGGTTTTGAGAGCATAAGCAGGTTGTGATGAAACTTAACAGAGTTGAATCAGGATAGGTGAGGAAAGTTTTGTTTTCATTTCCACCTACATACTATACCTCTCTTAGGAGAAATGGTACCAATTTTCATTTTGTTGGTTTGTTAAAGAACTTTTTTGAAAACTTGAGTTAACTAGCCCCATATTTCCAATTTATTCCACAGATTGTTTCAGTGATTCTTACAGTGTGATAGCATATTTACTTCTATTAAACTGCACCCTATAGTGCTTTTCATTTATGCATTGGGAAGTCTGACTATAGCTTTTGTCCAAACATATAGTTACTGAAAAAAAGGAGAGCAATAAAATTGCAAATATTCAGAACCCATTAATTAGAAAATTGGTAGGGAGACATTTTAATGCAGGTTGAGAAGAAAAATGTAACTGTGCTATTTATCAATCATTTACTAAGCAAATTAACAGAGTGTCCATGTTCATCTTATATGCAAGGAACAGGGTTTATCACACATGCAAACGAATTACCTGCTGAATACAAAAAGAGATATTTAAAACTAAAGTCACTCAATGTCAACAGTTTAAAAAACAAGAATAGTTAAACAAGTGTTTGTAAGAAATTGAATTATGAACCCATTTCCCCAGCACAAAATCACCTCCTCCATTCATTTCAGCTAAGTTCAAACTAGTGAGCCACCACTGTACCATCCCAGTGGCTTTTGCTCTTACTGAACCTAAGCTGAAATGAGAAGAAATCAGAGTCTGTCAGCCATATTAAACACTGTGGAGGTTGCAGGTCAACATTAAGGGAAAAAAAACCTTGAGTGTGAGATACAAATATGAACAATAACCTGCTCGCATTGGTCCATGCCGACTGGCTTGCCATCACTGCGAACACAGCTCAGCAGGCGGGTCCTGACGCCTTGACCACACGTTGCGTTTTCACTCAGCTGGCATGTGCTCCACTCTACAGGCATAGGATCACCCACACTGAGTTTCAAAATTATGGCCATGTGAGCAAAATACAACAAATCTTTGATTATCTGCATTGGAGGAGGACAGTCCAAACATACTGCTAAAACCATTTCCAGGTGGCTTTGGAAAGCATTATGCAATTCCTTTATTGCAAAACACACAGAAGAATAAATAAAGAAAAACGTGCTAACTCCCTAAGTTAGCTTTCTGGAGATAAAGAGCCAAATTGTTTTTTAGAAACCATCTCACAGCTGGCTGGGTTAGGAGAGGAAAGACACTATCCAGGTTGGTAAAGAAAAACCAGTTTGGAATCAACTATGTGTTGGAGATAACTGAGAGAGAAAACAATCCACAAATGGTGCCAGTTGCTATGGTCTAAATGTTTGTATCACCCCTCAAATTCATGTATTGAAATCCTAACCCCAAGGTGATGGTATTTGGAGGGAGAAGGTCTTGGGAAGTGATTAGATCATGAGAGCTGAGCCATTATGAATGGGATTAGTGCTTTTACAAAATATTCCCAGATGAGCTCATTTGCCTCTTTCATCCTGTGAGGACACAGCAAGAAAGCACCATCTACGAGGTACAGGCCCTCACCAGACACTGAATCTACCAGCACCTTGATTTTTGGACTTCCCAGCCTCCAGAACTGTGAGAAATAATTTCTGTTGTTATAAGCTACCCAGTTTATGGTAATTTGTTACAGCAAACTGAACAGAATAAGACACCAGTCTTTGGTGTAAACTTGAAAATGTCTTCAATTTAGACGAATAAATCCAATAATCTAAACCGCTTGGTGCATTTGATACAATGTAGCCAAGAGAGATGCCCCAGAAAAGAAAGAGGAAAAGGCATATGGGTTTGTATGGGCTGTAATGGAAACTCATTTTTTCAAATTATTCTATCATGAGGGAAGGTTTTAAAGATTTGGCTAACCACATTACAAACGAGACAGTGGAGAGTTAGAATAAAGTATCCCATATTTAACGTGATTCTTAAACAACTTTTATTTTTGGTGTGGGTAGAAAGGAAGATCCTTTATAATATAGAGCAAGAACTTCCTTAAGGTGATTTTTCAAATTGGTAGATTCCAGAGTTTAATAGGAATAGCAAACTTTGTATAATAAAATCAGTCTTTTAAAGATTTATTCTTCCAATAAAGTAGATTTCATTGTATTTCTAAAAAATTACTATCAAAACTAAGGCTCTTTTATCTAAAGAAAAAGGGTAAATATACCAGGTCATCTTTCATCCATGACAACAATTAGCCTCACAGAATTCACTGCGAGGTTTTCTACGTGAGAAATCTCAGCAGTCCCAATATGGCTGCAACAGGGAATATTTTTTCAGAAGAAGTGAATGCTTTGCCTCTACAGGCATGTGGTGGTTTGGTTGTCAGTATTGAATTCAACACTGTTACTTAACATGGTTCCACATTTTGTGCATTTTTGTATACCTGCCACTGCAGGGAATAGCAGGTAGCAGATCAATGTACTATCACAGTTCCTCTGGTTTTAAACAATGAGTACATGATGCCCAGGAAAAACCTGAGCAGTGAATTAATAAGTAGACTGATATGATTCTCAGTGCCCCTAAAACATCCCTGACCAGTCAGGCCTAGCAGACGTCCTTACTAAAACCCATAAAGTACATCACAGCTTGAATTTCTGAAATAATAAAAGCTGTGAAAGAGCCAAGCCCTATGACAGTATGATTACATTCTTCTCTCAAATGGTAAATTATCTTTTGCTACTTGTTTTAGCTATTTCAGCTTATCATGGCTTAATTCAACATTATTCTGAAATGTTGTCAAATCTTCCCAAGCATCTCTTACTACAGAGATTTTAAATGGTATGCTGAATCTACATGTCAAGAGTGAGCATTTCTTTCCATGAAGGAATACTGGAAATATCAAGTTCCCAGCCTTTTGTGCACACACTCACACATTCCACTCTTCAACCTTATCATGAGAATGAAATCACACCCAAACATTCTCTTCTTAGTCAATGTTCAGGAAAAATGACAAGGTTGTGGATTTCAATGGTACCTGTTAGATTGTACTGAAACTGGAAGCAATTTTCATTGAGGAGGCAGGGCCGAACCTGTGAGTCTTCAGCACACGTCCTTGAGCTAAGCGAAGGTCTCAGCAGATGGCGAGTTCTTCTCTGCATTGTGTGGGGGTCACATGACTACAAAAATCAAAGAGCAGGCAGAGTAAGCCCATAGTTAGTTGATAAATTATACATGATTATATGTACACAAGTAGTTACACACATAACAACTGCAGGGAAGAGACTATTGAGAGTGTTACACATAAGATTTAGAAAGTAAAAAACATTATTTGACTTGCTGTAATTTTTTTTCATACGACAACTCTTTTTTTCTGTGTTACCTTGAAGGCTACATTTCTATCTCCCATGTATAATTAAGCACATGGAGGCTGTTTTTATCACTTAAGCTCACACTGTACTCTCAAATAGTCTTGCCACAAAGTAAGAGATCCATATGTTTTGACTATTTAAATGAATGATAGATGGAAGATACTGTCCTTGTCACTTTGGTTAGTCTAGTTCTATAGAAGCAATTACACAGAACATTTTAAGTAAAAACTCATTTTTAAAACCTGGAATAAAAAAGAAGTGTAACGAGGGAATTATAGAGTCAATATTGCCAATAACCAGAACTTTTTTCTTCTTTGAGGGCATCTTTGATCCATATAACATGAACTACCGCATACTATTACCCTTTCCACAAAATTAATGTGAAAACATGAGCTCCAAAATCTCCACAAATATCATGACACCCATGGGCACTTATGTCCTCTTATAGCCTCAGCTCTTATAATGATCTTGAGTCAGGTAAACCTGCCGGCCACATCTCATCCAATAGGTTCACCCACAATGGGTCTTCAAGCTCTTCCTACTAGAACAACCTTCTTTCAGTTGTCCTCCAAACCTAGTTCTTCACCTTCTTCAGAACACTCATCAAAACTTGCTTCACAGTCTCCTCTTTAAAAATGCCAGATTTTTCTCTTCCTTTTTTAGCCATCTTCCACCCATGCTCAGGCAGTTCTCCACAGATTTGCTTCTAAGCATATATACATACATATGTACTGAGGGGGTACCCCCCCCAAATGGAATTTATTTTAAAAATTGTTTATTCTTACATGTTTAAACTTCACTCACTTTCAAAAGTACTTTCCATTTGACGCAATACACCTATCGAGACACTTTCTCCACTGCTCAAAACAGTTTTTGAACTCATCAGTTTTGATGCCTTTTAGTGCTTATGTGATTTTTTGTTTCACCTCTTCCACACTGGCAAAATGTTTCCCTTTGAGGGCTTTTTTCATTCGAGGAAACAAAAACAGTTGCTTGGGGCAAGATCAGGTGTGGCATAAGGTTCAGGCCGATTTTGGTCGAAAACTGCTGAACACACACCAGTCACCTGTTTGCCACAGCTATGGGATGTTTCTCCCTTAAATCATGATGCGATCTTCTCAAAACTTCCAGATAAAAACTTTGATTGACAGTTTGTGTACCGCCCTCCAAAAGATAATTCTGTTTTGTGTGTGTCTATGTGTGGGGGACCTCCCTCACACTTCTAGGCTATATCTATCCTTCCATTGTCATTCTTTATTATCCTGCCTCTTTCTTTCTTTACAAACTCTTTGAATACATGTTGGATCATGGCTTCCACTTTTCTTGTAACTCCATGAAATTCTTTTATTTTCATGTTTTCTTCCATCACACAGAAGTAAAAGAAATCTTGATATAAAATGTTTACAACACACAATTCCGGATACCAAAATCTAAAGAGGCCCATATATTTTTAAGTCACTGGAGAAATGGAAGTCTCTCAATTAAGATATTCAGATGATCATTTCTGTATTTTCTATGTTTTACTTATTTTTTATTCCTTTTACACTTTCAGATATTGTAGTAAGAACACAACCTGTACACTACATCTTGGCTATGAATCGCAATGATAATGTGAAATTGCACTGAAATATGCAGAAAAAGATGTCACAGTTTTTCTTTTAGTTGTAAAGGTTTGGAGCATTAAAATACATTTACTATCTATATGATTTCATATCTGGATAATCTGTAAATACTTATAATTTTACACTTAATTGTATCAAATTGTCTCTAGATAATCAAGAAGGGCCACCAAAACCAAGCAATGATTCTTAATTATCTGCACATGAATCTCATGCTCAGTGCTTACCAATTATTTATTACTATTTTACCAGTTAATTTGAATGCTTGCTCTTATGAGGAGAAACAATAACAAATGATTTGTCAATAAAAAAGTATCTTGGTAGATACCACTGTTTAGTGCCCTCCTGCATTTCTGTTATAAAGTAATCGGTTAGCAAGTGAATGTGTGCAAGGGCTTATTTACCAGCTTAGTTGAAACCATCAAATGAAACAGATAATGAAATACACACACACAAATCCAATTACTATGTAATTTTGAATAATTCACTTATATATTCTATACTTTAGTTCCTCATCTCAACCTAAGTGAGAAAGAAGGATGAGATTAGGGGTATGATTTAATGAGATTTAAGAACTTTCTTCCTCAAGTCTCAGTCTGTCTGTGTCTAAATCTGCTGGACATGGTTTTAAAATACCCTTGAGCCTAATCCATCATTTATATCATGTCACCTTTGATAATTACTAGAACTTATTATACAGAAAACCAACATTGCAACTCACTCTCTTATTTACTCTTTATCCATAGCAAGGCAAAAGAGAGGTGCATAGGTGACTAAAACCTATCAACATAATCCAATTTAATCTCAGGTACCATTTTCATACTTTGCCGTATTAAACTTGTCCTAGTATTGCTAACAAGTGATAGACAGAATACTGTTTCATCTTTTTTCTATTAGCTATTGATAGGGAATTTACTATTAGTGTTTCATTTTACTTCTTTCTCTCTATTAGCTATTTATAGGGAGCTCACAAAATAATGAATTAGCTGCAAACTAGATGAGGGGAGTGAGAATAAGAAAAAAGAGAAAGAAAAGGGGGCTAATATCTATCTGGATGATTTCTTTATGGATCAAGACTCCTCGAATACAAACCTGGATCTCTTCTTCTCTATAGCAATTATATAAAGACATACCGTCAGTTTCCTAAATATAGAAGTGGGAAAATGATGTATAGATAATTAACCCAAAGTCAACTTTGGACTGGTTTCATTTAAGATATTGAGGTTATATAGCTAAGGTTTATTTGCTAGGGAAGAAGATGACCAATAAGGACTTGTTAGTTTCTAATGTATAAACTCCTTTATGAGAATAGGTTTTCTAACTTATTACCTTTGTAAACCAGCACTTACCTTAAAGTTCAGTCTTTCCTTATGACATTATACCTTCATACCTTTTGTTCTCTCTAGCGGCAAGATCTCTTGCCTAACCTAGATACTTATATTAATATCCCTCAAAATGAAATATGATGTCCCTTCTCTGAGGTTCCACTGACTACCTCAGACCCAAGAAAATGGAATAATTTCATCTACTAAGCATTGCCACTGTGATTGTACATGTATTATGTGTGCATTCCTTCCTGTTGGCTATTTAGAGAGTCAGTGTCTTAATTCTCCTGGGCATTCTGAATCTTGTACTTGTCTGGTACAGAGCATGCAAATAATAGATGTTTGTTGTGTATAATGATTTGGTTCTTTCTGGGCAATAACACTGGATTTTTGTAAGACAGATGGTCAACAAAGGATTATGACCATATTGCCTGAACATAACAGTTCCCATAGGTCTGTATATCTGATAAAAAGAAAATCTTTTCCCTAATACTCATACATTTTCTATAAAATCTAGGTGGCAGCCAGGCTCGGTAGCTCAGCCTGTAATCTCGTGACTTTGGGAGGCTGAGGTGAGTGGATTGCTTGAGCCCACGGGTTCGAGACCCGCCTGGGCGGTGAGACCTCATCTCTACAATAAATCAAAAAAAAATCAGCCAGGCGTGGTAGCACATGCCTGTAATTCCGGCTACTTGGAAGGCTGAGGCAGAAGGATCGCCGGAGCCCAGCAGGTCGAGGCTGCGGTGGCCGGGAGCGGCCACTGCACTCCAGTCTGGGCGACAGAGTGAGACTCCAACTCAAAACAAAAAACAAAAAAAACTTCTAGGTGGCATTTACTTGGATAATAAAATCCATTATTAAATTTGTAAAACATATACCCACATAAAAGATGACAGTTAATTTATATAAGATATTTACAAAAAATCTAAATGAAGAGATATACTTTGATATTTTTTCACTATAATTGAACTATTAGTAATCACAGTGTAATAAAACCTGTGATTAATAAATTCAGTTACTTATGAATTTAAGTCACTCTGCAGATTTCTTCTCTCCATGACACCAAGGCCTGGTCTTGTCAATTCCCTGGTCATGTCATACTAAGTTAACCATCACAGAAACATAACATTCAGTTATGAGGTCTATCTGATAATTCTGAGATGGTCTCTTCCTCAGGAGCTCTGCTATTTCTATCTTTCATGTGGCAAAAACAGATGTATACTCTATGGACTTTAGTTTTTGGTTTTTTTTTTAATTTGGAAAAATAGGGTAAAAGTTCCAAAGAACCATTGCAATGCTTTGTACGAAAATTTTGAATGAAATTAAACTCTGATTTTCAAAGACTGACAAAGTTAAGAAAACTTCTGGAAGACCCAAAGAATTCTTACTCATACCTCACATATTTTTAAAAATTCTCTGAGATTTTTGAGAAGATTACAGAAGAGAAAAAATTCTTTGCACATCACAGTGCAACAAGGAGAGCAAAACCAAAATTACATAGACCACATATGCTCAGTACGACCGATATCTCATCTCCACAAACCCCAACCTGTAAGCAGGTGGAAACAGTGACTGAAGCTACTGGACCTGTGTGTTATCATATCTGGCATGAGAAAGCAAAAGGTAAAAATGGGGCATCTGACAGACCCAAGACCACCAAAATGGAAAATTGAAACAGACTTGGAGTTTTCATACCCCCAAAGTAAGGAGAGGTCTTGGAAGTCGATTGTTATCTAGATCCAATGAACTCCCAACATTAGCAAGCAAAGCTCCCTTCCAGGAAAATCCCTTTGCTTCCTCCACCATACCACTAAAGAGAAACAGGTGGGAAGAATTACTAAACAGAGCAAAACAGGGAAAATGG